TAGTCAAATATAAAGAAATATATTTGACTAAAAATGAATTTGTGCATGCCATATCATTATTTTTAATTTTAGTTTTGCAATTTAATTGAATTGATTATTCTTTTACATATATAATATTTTTTTATATTTTGTAATATTTCTTAGTATATATAAATCAAGGAGTATTTACTAATTGGATGATTTTTAATGATTTGTCTTTTATAAAAACTTTAATTCAGTATATATAAAGAAAATATTACAAAAAAACATTTAAATTTCCAAGGAAAAAAATGTTATATCATTTTCAGCATTTGCCATAGGAAAACAATTGAATTAAATATAGGAGAAATTGTAAAAATACTATTTTTTATGTATCCATTTGCAAAAATGCCACTAATTATAGATTTTTAAACTCTATATTTTAAAATTCTAAACACTAAAAATGTTTTGACCCCTAAACCTTCGTAACTAAACTCTAATAGAACATAATTAACCAAAACATAAATAATATAAAAAAAATTGCAAAAATACCACTTTTTATGTGTACATTTGCAAAAATACCACTTAGGGGTGCTAATTTGCAAAAATGTCACTAATTATAGATTTTTAAACCCTATATCTTAAAATTCTAAACACTAAAAAATGTTTTGATCCCTAAACCCCCTAAACCTTCATAATTAAATCCTAATAGAACATAGTTAACCCGAATATAAATAATATAAAGAAAAAATAATTTTGAAAAAGTGGCATTTTTGTAAAGATTTCAAAGTGTGATATTTTTGTAAAGTGGCACTTGAAAAGTGGTATTTTTTAAAATTTCTCAAGAAAAAATAATTTTAAAAAAGTGGCATTTTTTGTAAAGATTTCAAAAGTATGGCATTCTTGTAAAATGGCACTTGAAAAATGACATTTGAAAAGTGATACTTAAAAAGTGGTATTTGTTTTAATTAGATAATAAAGAAAATATATCGGGAAAAAGAAACAAGATATATTGCAAAAGTTGATAAGCAATTTTGGCGGTATTGAAAAGCATGATTACACACCATCTAGAGACTAGAATATACTGCAGCACTATTCCTCCGTCAATTCACATGTCCCAATCTAGAGCATTGGGAAGTTTTGCTCCCATGCTTATATAATACATTACCAATTTTCTAACGAAAAAAACAGGTTACCAGTTTTTTGGTTTTTATTTACAATGTTAATTAAAATTGCAAGTTCCAAGTTACCGCCTTGAAATCAAACAACACACCGCAAATCTTGTGCCCAAATTATCTGTAGAACATAAGAAGTCCAAACACGTATGCTTGATACACAGAATTAGCATGCTTAACTTTGCACATTTTCAACATTTTGTCCCAAAACTCAAGAAAAAACAAACCAACATAAATAAATTTTAGAAAAAAAAAACATCATCAGTGAATCTATTCAAGTTTTAATATAAAAATTTATGATATTTATAATATTGGTTTAAACA